TCTTCCAGCAATCCAAGGTACATTCAATATTCTTTTCCAACACCACAACTCAAATGCATCCATTCTTCTGCAGTCTTCTTAATTCATTGTGAAGCTCTTACATGCATATGAGGCCATTGAAAACACCAGGTGTGGGCCAGGCACATCTTAGTCATCAAAGTGATATCTTTTCTTTTCCACACTGCTGCTTCCATGGGTGCTGACTGTGGAGTCAAGTAAACTGAAATCCTTTACAATTTCCACCTTTTCTCCATTTATCACATGATGTTGCTTATTGGTCCAGTTCTGAGGTTTTTATTTTCTTTATGTTGATGTGTAATCCACACTGAAAGCTGTAGTCTCTGATTTTCAACAATAAGTGTTTCAAGTCCTCTATACTTTCAGCAAGCAAGGTTTTGTCATACATAGGTTAATGAGTCTTCCTCCAATGCTAATGTCATGTTCTTCTTCATGTATCTTTTCAGATTATTTGTTCAGCATACAGATTGAATAAATATGGTGAAAGGATTCAACCCTGACACACACATTTCTGGATTTTAAACCATGCAGTATGCCCTTGTTCTGTTCGAACAACTGCCCCTTGGTCCATGTACAGGCCTATCATGATCACAATTAACTGTTCTGGAATTCCTATTCTTCTCAATGTTATCCATAATTTGTTGTGATCCACACAGTTGAATGCCTTTGCATAGTCAATAAAACACAGGTAGTCATCTTTCTGCTATTCTCTGCTTGCAGCCAAGATCTATCTAACATCAACAATGATATCCCTCGTTCTACATCCTCCTCTGAAGATGGCTTGGATTTCTAGCAGTTCCCTTTCAATATACTGCTGAAAACATTTTTTAATTATTTTCAGCAAAATTTTACTTGTGTGTGGTGGCATTGTGCCTAACGCACTTGACTGCTAACCAGAAGGCCGGTGGTTCGAACCTACCAGCCACTCCTTGGAAGGAAGGTTGGGCAATCTACTTCCATAGTCACACTGCCTTGGAAACCCAAGGAGGGGTGTCACTATGAGCCAGATATGACTCAACAGCAGTGCATTTGTTTTTTTTTGTTTGTTTGTTTTGTGATAGTAATGACATTGTTTGATAATTTCTGCATTCTGTTGGATCACCTTTCTTTGCAATAGGCACAAATATGGATCTCTTCCAGTCAGTTGGCCAGGTAGCTGTCTTCCAAATTTGTTGGAATAAACAAGTGAGCATCTCAAGTCTTGCATCCATTTGTTGAAACAGCTCAATGAGTATTCTGTCAGTTCCTCTTTTTTATTTTTTTTGCCTATCCCTTTAGCATAGCTTGGACTTCTTCCTTCACTACCATTCATTCTTGATCATACGCCACCTCCAGAAATGGTTGAATAGCTAATTCTTTTGTTACAGTGACTCTGTGTATTCCTTCCATCTTCTTTATGCTTCTTGTGCTGTTCAATATTTTGCCTGCAATATTGCAACTCAAGGCTTGAATTTTTTCTTCATTTCTTCAGCTTGAAAAATGCCAAGCATGTCCTTTGCTTTTGATTTCCTAACTGCAGGTCTTTGCACATTCCATAATACTTTACTTTGTTTTCTGGGGCCACCCTTTGAAATCTTCTGTTCAGCTCTTCTCCTTCATCATTTCTTTCATTTGCTTTAACTACTCTCCATTCAAGAGCAAGTTTCAGAACCTTCTGACATCCATTTTGGTCTTTCTCCCTTTCTTGTGTTTCTAATGACCTTTTGCTTTCATCGTATATGATGTCTATGATAACTTTCTACAACTCAGTTGGCTTTCAGTCATTGGTGTCCAATGTGTCAAATCTATTCTTCAGGTAGTTTCTAATTTCAGGTGGGATATACTTAAGGTTATATTTTTGGCATTTGTGGTCTTGTTTAAATTTTCTTCATCTTCCACTTAACCTTGCATATGAGAAATTGTTGATCTGTTCCGCAATTGGACCCTGGCCTTGCTCTGACTGATGATTTGAGCTTCTCTATTGTCTCTTTCACAGATGTAGTCAATTTGATTCCTATGCATGCTGCTTGGTGAAGTTCATGTGCCATCATTTATGTTATTGAAAAAATGTATTTGCATTGAGTAAGTCATGACCAAAAACCAAACTCACTACCATCAAGTCAGATCCGACTCATAATGACCTCTCCTTGGATTTCCAAGAAAGTGTCACTAAGGAAGTAGATTGCCCAATCATCCTTCTGAGGAGTGGCTGGTGGGCTTGAACCCCAAGCCTTCTGGTTAGCAGTCAAATGCCTTAGGCACTATGCCATCAGAGCTCCAAATAAATCATTAGTCTTGCAAAATTCTATTATGTGATCTCTGGTGTCTTTTCTATCACCAAGTCCATATTTTCCAAATATTGATGCTTCTTCATTGTTTCCAATTTTCCCATTCTAATTTCCAGTAATAATTAATACATCTTGATTACACATTTGGTTTTATTTCAGACTGCAGAAATTGGTCAAAATCTCCAGTTTCTTCATTTTTGGCTTCAGTGGTTCATGTGTAAATTTGAAGCATAGGTATATATCCTAGCACTGATAGCACTGTACTTCAGGATAGATCTTTAAATATATATATATATTTTTTACAATGAATGGGACACATTTATCTTCATTTTTTTTTTTTTTTTTGTCATTTCCAGCATAATAGACCATATGATTCAATTCGAAATGGCAATACCAGTCCATTTCATCTCACTGATGTCTAGGATATTAATCTGTAGGCATTCCATTCCATTTTTGACAAGTTCCAGTTTTCCTAGATTTATACTTAGTACATTCCACCTTCTTCTTATTAATGCATGTTTGTAGCCATTTCTTCTCATTTTTAATCAAGCCATATCAGCAAATGATGGTCTAGAAAGGCTTACTCCATCACATAATTAAGGTCAACTCTACTTTTAGAAAAAGTTCTTCTTTCCCAGTTGTATTTTAAGTGCCTTCCAACCTGAGGTGCTCATGTCCTGGCCCTAAATCAATGTTTTCCTACTATTCATAAAGTTTTCAGTGGTCTGTTTTTTCAGAAGTGGATCTGACCACATCCTTCCTTCTAGTCTGTCTTAATCTGGAAGTTCCACTGAAATCTGTCCACTTGCGATATTTGAAATACTGGTGGTATAGCTTCCAGCATCACAGCAACATGCAAGCCATCCCAGTATGTGAAACTGACAACCAATTGGTGGTACATAAAAAAGAAAGCCTTAGAAAGTCTCTCTCTCTCTCTCTACATATATATATATATATATATATATATATATATATATATAT